TAAAATTTAAATGTAAATGTAAAATGTTGTTTCAAAGCCTAACACAACTAAATGGACAGTGCTTTCTAACGTGATGATTAATTCAAAACAACCATGTGCATATTAGAGCTTATGCAAATGTATAGGCCATAAATATGAGCCCAAGCCCAAAACCCCCCCAGATTTAAAATGAATGATTCTGCCTTTATACAATACATAGCCTACAGCATATTATACATGGCAGAAAAAAATACTTATTTAAGATATATTTGGTACACAATTGGTCTAGCTTAAATTAAACAAATTCAGAGAGAGCCTACAATTATAGTGAATTTGTATTTGATTTTGAATAGCCTAGTAATAGGGCATTTTTTATATTTTCATAATTAATAGGCTGACCTTTAGCTACAGAATATCTCACCACTGTGCGTTTCCATCTCCTCCCCTCTCGCCTTCATTCCTTTCTCCAGCACGCAGTGCGAGGGGCTGTCAACAGTTTAATGAAATATGTTTCATTGTGAAAACATGTTACTATTGATGTTCCCAATATGATTTCACTTGGTATCCCAAATTAAGCACTGGGTAGCTGCAGGAACATGGTTGGAGAGCCGATGGCATACAGAGTTTAGAAGGAATATCACCCGTCGCGCAGCGAAATAACTGGAGTAGCTTACCTGACATGAGTGAAATGAACCAGCGGGAAAGAGGCCTCCATTCGCTATTCAAGTGCATATGGATGACATGTCTTTTTCCTCTTGCCCCTGTTCTGGCCCATTTGATAATGGGCCATTCTAAATCTAAACTAATTTTACATATTAGTAAAGACAAGATTAAATTGACAATAGTCTGATGGGTGAAAATATCATCACTTGATCAGAGAACAGCTTGTGCACCCTGAGGCAAGTAACAGAGCACAAGCTTTTTTTGCGACTTTCTCAAATCAGCAATAGCCTAGTCGCATCATGCAGCCAATATATCTTTTGATTTCTAAAGCATTCTATGGTTTGTATCATTCACAACTAAAGTTGCCAAATAACTCTAAATCTAGTTTATAGGACCTGTTTCAAATTAACAGGTTTATGCTCAACCTAGCGGCTTCATATAAGCACTCGCTCCATAATGGGGAAAATATCCTTTCTATTTTATTCAGCTAAGTTCAACTATATTCTTCTTACTATAAAATCATATAATATACAGTAAAATAATGGTACAGGACTTATAATCATATCTTGTCTGCTAAATGAACAAGCCTACAGCCTATGGCATGGCGCATTGCCAGATAACATAGGCTACAGTAGGCCAACTCATATTCTGTTCTTCTGAAATACATTTAATGTGATGGTGTGTATTCAATTGATTTATTCTACTTTTTAAAATGTACATGTTCCAAAAGCGCACATCAGAGGCTTGTATGTGGCTTGTATGCATGGAGGCCTGGAGATGCTATAGGTGTTTATGTTAATTAACAGGTAATTACCATGACACCAGCAGCCATTTGCATGACAATAACCGGCTGACAAAATGTCATGACTGCCACAGCCCTAGGTAAGCAGATGCACTACAGTACCAGGCAGTATGTTCACCCATGTGTGACACAGCCAACCTCACATACTGTAAACCACACACTCAGTCTCTCCACCATCCACTCACTGTAACATCCACTCTCACTAATAAACAAATAGCACACAATATAACATAGATACTGTCTGTACTATTACTGTTTATTGCTAGCAGCATAATGCTGGGCATCTTACTGTTACAGCACATGTTATGTGTGTTTGTTCTTATAATCAAGGAAATGGGCCATATGTTGTGTTGTACAAAGCTATTGGCATTATGAGATGGGAGAAAAATAGGGCATGGAAGGTAAAGAAGGATGACAGAGATATAAAAAAAAAAAGATACATTATATTCTAAGTGTAAGGCATGGATATAAAGATGAGCCGAACAACTTCTCATTTCGATGATTCATATTTAATCCAACTGCTAGGTCCGCATAGAACGTAATAACATCAAAGGCTAGTTCAAAGACCACTCGGGAACATACATGAAACCCAATAACCTTTCCCCAGGTCAAGGATTCCATACAGTGATTACTACCTCTCCTGGCGAGGAGACATTAACATTTCTATAATTATATAATGATCATTCCTCTCAGGAATTACTGAGAGGGTGAAAACATGCAACTGAAGAGAAGCCAGTAGAGTGGAGTAGACAAGTTGATACCTTCCCTGCCTGTCTTTCATACACACAACAGCCAGGACCGGAGAGGAAGATAATTGTTTTTACCCTGGAAGGCACATCAATGGCATCATCAATTCAGGAGAGGGAATGTGACAGCTAATCAAACACAATAGGCTGACCCACAGATTACACACACTCCAGTCTTCAAGGATATGTGCACCAGCCTGGATCCTCTGGCTGTAATGGCCCAATAAATAAATATGACCATAGATAACCTTATGCTGTCAATTCTCTGTTTTTCTATTTCTTCCAACACTTCAGATGCCATATCCCCTGAGCTGCACTCGTTCTGCTTACTCAGCTTTCATAGTGCTCTGAGCACCATTGGAAATAAATTAAATCAAAGATGACGTCCAATTTAAGGAAAGTTAAATTCAATTTTACTTAGAAGTTCTGTTAAAGGCCCAGCGCAGTCAAAAACGTGATTTTCGTGTTTTATACAGTACATTAGGAAAGTATTCAGACCCCTTGCCTTTTTCCACATTTTGTTACGTTACAGCCTTATTCTTAAATGGATTAAATAAAAAAATGTCATTATCAACCTTAAAAAAAAAAATTCAAGTTATATATATTTTTGTTTTTTTGTGTCATTTAGCAGACTCTCTTATCCAGAGCGACTTATAGTTAGTGAGGGCATACATAATTTTATTGTTTCATACTGGCCCCCCGTGGGAATCGAACCCACAACCCTGGCGTTGCAAACACCATGCTCTACCAACTGAGCTACATCCCTGCCGGCCATTCCCTCCCCTACCCTGGACGACGCTGGGCCAATTGTGCACCGCCCCATGGGAGCACAGCTAGTGGCACAGCTAGCACTGCGATGCAGTGCCTTAGACCACTGCGCCACTCGGGAGGCCATACCTACACACAATACCCCATAATGACAGAGCGAAAATTGGTTTTTAGAAATGTTTTCACCTTTATTAAAAATTAAAAACAAAAATACCTTATTTACATAAGTATTCAGACCCTTTGGTATGAGACTCCAAATTGAGCTCAGGTGCATCCTGTTTCCATTGATCATCCTTGATATGTTTCTACAACTTGATTGGAGTCCACCTGTGGTAAATTCAATTGATTGGACATGATTTGGAAAGGCACACACCTGTCTATATAAGGTCCCACAGTTGACAGTGCATGTCCGAGCAAAAAACAAGCCATGAGGTCGAAGGAATTGTCCGTAGAGCTCCGAGACAGGATTGTGTCGAGGCACAGATCTGGGGAAGGGTACCAAAAAATGTCTGCAGCATTGAAGGTCACCAAGGGGGCGGCAGGTAGCTTAGTGGTTAAGAGCGTTGTGCCAGTAACCGAAAGGTCGCTGGTTCTAATCCCTGAGCCGACTAGGTGAAACATCTGTCTGAAACATTCTTAAATGGAAGAAGTTTGGAACTACCAAGACTCTTCCTAGAGTTGGCTGCCCGGCCAAACTGAGCAATCGGGGGAGAAGGGCCTTGGTCAGGGAGGTCACCAAGAACCCGATGGTCACTCTGACAGAGCTCCAGAGTTCCTCTGTGGAGATGGGAGAACCTTCGAGAAAGACAACCATCTCTGCAGCACTCCACCAATCAGGCCTTTATGGTAGAGTGGCCAGACGGAAGCCACTCCTCAGTAGAAGGCACGACAACCCGCTTGGAGTTTGCCAAAAGGCACCTAAAGGACTCTCAGACCATGAGAAACAAGATTCTCTGGTCTGATGGAACTCTTTGGCCTGAATGCCAAATGATGATAATACCCTATTAGTGTAAGAGCTGTTTAAAAAGACTGCCTGAAATTTCAGCCTGTTTTTGTGGGATGGAGTTTTGGCCTGCTTTGGTGGGATGGAGTTTTGGCCTGCCTGGCGACATCACCAGGAGGTAAATTAGTTAATAGACCTATAAGAAAGAGAGTTCCAAACCTCTCTGCCAATAACAGCTAGTTTTCCGTTCCCCCCTCCCCAGACCACTCCCAGACAGTCCTTGCCAAATTCTTGCTTAAGAAATTGATCTTAGCTAAGAAGCAATTTTTCTTCTTATTTTTGACCATTTTGACCACTTAATTGTTACCCAGAAAGAATTTGATATTGATATTAAAAAACGGCTGCATTGGACCTTTAAGCTCTGACTGTAGGACCCTTTCCTTAGATTTGCAGATGAGGTAAATTAGGTGATGTGAAGCTAGAGGCTTGAACATGGTAGCCAATGCTGCCGGGTTGCCAGGCGACTGCTGTTGGTGGATTATGAAATAAGGGGAACCTGCAGAGACCAGTCAAGTGGCTGTGGGCGTAAAATACGGTATAGGGTTGTTTGTTATGATGAAGGAAAAGCCAGTGGAGGGTGAGAGAGAGTGAGGGTGGGAGGAGAGAGAAGGGCAGCAAATAAGGAAGTGGAGAAGAGTTGTGCCCACAGACAGGTCCCCTGACTAAAGGTTAATTGAATTTGGTCTGAGGCATTAACCGTAGATGGCAGTGTCATTGTTGTCTAATCTTTTCCCATCTTGGTGTTATAGCAGAGTATTTGTCCCAGCCCTCTACACTCTCCCATGCATGAGCAGGGAGTTGAGAAAGTGTAACTAATCCAACAGTCAATACATCCAATCTTGTTTAATTGATTAGTACTTAAAGTCACAATGGATTTAGAATTATCAAAAATAGCTTGCAAGGAAGGAATTGAGATTGGACATGGGAAAATATTGCAACGTAACTATTTCACTGGAGGTTATTTTATTCTATAAAATGTTCTCAGTCCTGTACCTAGAAGTCTTTATTACAATGTTACAATCTGATCCCATCTGATCTCCTTTTTCTTCTCATTCAGCAGCTAACAACCATGGAGACGGCCCTTTCCACTCCCCATAATATCCAGATCTGTGAGGTGACCTGCGACTCCTTCCGCATCGCCTGGGACATGACCCCTGAGGATACTGCCAAGACCACACACTTCTTCATAGACCTGAGCCGCAAGGAGGGCGGGGATCCCAACCGCTTCAAGCACAGGGTCTGTCTGACTTTTCTCCCTCATAAAACCTCCCCAGGCCCCCCCCATCCTTCCCCCTTGACTCAATGACTATGACTCCCACTGTCTAGATCCATGTTTTGCACTTCATTCCATCCTGTTTTCCAATAATAGACATTTCACTGCAACATGTGATGTGATATGTTTTGATATAACCCGAGATGGCCTTGCATGAGACAGTGTCTATGCAGAGCTATAGTTCTATAGATACTGTGTTGTTTAGTAGATCAAAACCTGGTGGTAAGTGTATCTGACACTGCACTGCAGCAGTTACAACCCAGAGACCAGTGGTAGTGCCGTTTCAGTCACTTCCAGTGCAAGAGCGTGAGAATTGTGTGCTGCAAAACAGCTTCGGGCAAGCAACTCATTGGCACATTTCTTTCCTCTTCAATGGCTAAAAACTGACAAAGCCTGAAAACTGCAGCTTTGTTTTCTTCACTATGAACTGTGATTTTATTCCACACCAATCACTGAACTGATTTATTGTATACTACCCATCATTTCTTCATTTTATTTTCTCAACATCATGTTGGGGGTCAAAAAATATAGGCTTAGCTAATTGCAATCATTATTTGAAATACAATAATGATTGAAATAGAAAATGAAGTGACCGTTATTTACAATGGGATCCTTCCTAACAGACAGAAATTATACACTACAGCAGATTCACGCCTCACTGTTGGAAGGACCTAGGACTATTATTTGAGGTTATCTCTTATCTTGTGACAGAGGGAGAATTTTAATGATTGAAATGAAAGATGTCATGCTCAGTCATCCCCAATGGGTGCTTCTGAAGCTTACTTACCTCTACATCTAATCTATCCACATTTTAGATACTGGATTACCTAATTTGGTACGGTTCTCTATTAATGTAATTTATATCTCAAAAGTCCTTTCCCTATTTAACACATTTGAGTCAGCAATGCAAGGTATTCATTTTTCTTCATTTCTGATCAGTTAGTGTCCTGGAATTGTTCTGTGCTGAATACACTTTCTTCTTATTCTCCCCTCAGCCTTTACAAAAGCTCCTGACTTCTGTTGTACAGAGCTGTGCAGAGTTGTACTTGATTGAAAGCGTGTTTCTATCGCTCGGGAATCAAAGTGACACAAACAAATTTGCACCAGGGTGGTTGCCATGGATATGTGGCCCCTCTGAGCTTGTTGCAATTAGTTCTGAGCTTGTTGCGTCTTAGAGGCCCTGGCCAAAACAAAGCCAGTCATTTGGTTGGATATACAGCAGCTTAGCTAGACCAGTTTGTACCAGAATATGTTGCAGAAATGTACAATTCATGAGTCTGATTACATAATAAACATTTTGATCTTACCGAAAATTGCCTTTTTAGCAATTAATTGCTGTATTCTAGTAATTCATCTAATGAGTCTCTTGAATTAACATGTATCCATGTTTCAACCATCAGGATGTGCCCACCAAACTGGTGGCGAAGGCGGTGCCTTTACCTATGGCAGTGAGAGGCCATTGGTTCCTGAGCCCGCGGACAGAGTACTGTGTTGCTGTGCAGACAGCAGTAAGACAGGTAGACGGAGAGTACCTGGTGTCTGAATGGAGCAGGGTGGTCGAGTTCTGCACAGGGGGTATGTTTAAGTTGAGTTTTTTAGTTTTTAAAGTGGCTTTGAGATTGTACTTGGCATGAAAAGCATTATATAAAATACATCTATTATTATTTTTATAGAAGTACACAGGGCCGGCTCTAGCCTTTAAGGGGCCCTAAGCGAGCATTGGTTGGGGGGCCCCCCACCTTGACGATGAAGAGAAAAAAACATTTTGCCATGGGACGGGAGGGAACTTTTGCAGTTTTACAGCTAATTTCCTGCAATTCTACCCATTTTTACCATGGGGTGGAGATAACCTTTTGCTCTTTTAAAGCAAATTTCCTGCAATTCTACACATTTTGTAATGACTTTTGCCATGTTTATCCAGCAGCATACCACCCTACATCCCACTGATGGATTGCTTCTGAAGCTAAGCAGGGTTGGTCCTGGATCGGAGACCAGATGCTGCTGGAAGTGGTGTTCGAGGGCCAGTAGGAGGCACTCTTTTCTCTGGTCAAAAAAATAATATTCCAATGCCCCACGGCAATGCCCTGTGTAGGGTGCCATCTTTGGATGGGACTTTAAATGGGTGTCCTGACTCTCTGTGGTCAATAATGATCCCATGGTACTTATCGTAAGACTAGGGGTGTTAACCTCGGTGTCCTGGCTAAATTCCCAATATGGCCCTCATACAATCATGGCCACCTAATCATCCCCAGCTTCCAATTGGCTCATTCATCTCCCCTCCTCTGCCCTGTAACTATTCCCCAAGTCGTTGCTGTAAATGGGAAAGTGTTCTCAGTCAACTTACCTGGTAAAATAAGGGTGAAACAAAGAAAAATATGATCCGAGTGAGAATGACTAACAAAATCAATGGGGGCCCCCTGGAGGTCAGGGCCCATGGGCACAGGCCCTGAGTGACTGGTCGGTATTTGGCCATTATTACTACAAGTTTAGATAGCTGGCTAGACTAACTACCAATCTAAAAAATGTTAGCTGACATGGCTAATTGAGTGACTATCAGTGCCTGACATAACAAGAGAAAAACTGCTGATGCACAACCAAATTTAGAAATTGCATATGGTGTATTCTACTAGTCTTACTCTCAATAGTAAGTTGAGACCCCGACTGAGTTCCATATACACTGCTCAAAAAAATAAAGGGAACACTTAAACAACACAATGTAACTCCAAGTCAATCACACTTCTGTGAAATCAAACTGTCCACTTAGGAAGCAACACTGATTGACAATACATTTCACATGCTGTTGTGCAAATGGAATAGACAACAGGTGGAAATTATAGGCAATTAGCAAGACACCCCCAATAAAGGACTGGTTTTGCAGGTGGTGACCACAGACCACTTCTCAGTTCCTATGCTTCCTGGCTGATGTTTTGGTCACTTTTGAATGCTGGCGGTGCTTTCACTCTAGTGGTAGCATGAGACGGAGTCTACAACCCACACAAGTGGCTCAGGTAGTGCAGCTCATCCAGGATGGCACATCAATGTGAGCTGTGGCAAGAAGGTTTGCTGTGTCTGTCAGCGTAGTGTCTGTCAGCGTAGTGTCCAGAGCATGGAGGCGCTACCAGGAGACAGGCCAGTACATCAGGAGACGTGGAGGAGGCCGTAGGAGGAACAACCCAGCAGCAGGACTGCTACCTCCACCTTTGTGCAAGGAGGAGCAGGAGGAGCACTGCCAGAGCCCTGCAAAATGACCTCCAGCAGGCCACAAATGTGAATGTGTCTGTTCAAACGGTCAGAAACAGACTCCATGAGGGTGGTATGAGGGCCCGACGTCCACAGGTGGGGGTTGTGCTTACAGACCAGCACCGTGCAGGACGTTTGGCATTTGCCAGAGAACACCAAGATTGGAAAATCCGCCATTGGCGCCCTGTGCTCTTCACAGATGAAAACAGGTTCACACTGAGCACATGTGACAGACGTGACATAGTCTGAAGATGCCGTGGAGAACCTTCTGCTGCCTGCAACATCCTCCAGCATGACCGGTTTGGCGGTGGGTCAGTCATGGTGTGGGGTGGCATTTCTTTGGGGGGCCGCACAGCGCTCCATGTGCTCGCCAGAGGTAGCCTGACTGCCATTAGGTACCGAGATGAGATCCTCAGACCCCTTGTGAGACCATATGCTGGTGTGGTTGGCCCTGGGTTCCTCCTAATGCAAGACAATGCTAGACCTCATGTGGCTGGAGTGTGTCAGCAGTTCCTGCAAGAGGAAGGCATTGATGCTATGGACTGGCCCGCCCGTTCCCCAGACCTGAATCCAATTGAGCACAACTGGGACATCATGTCTCGCTCCATCCACCAACGCCACGTTGCACCACAGACTATCCAGGAGTTGGCGGATGCTTTAGTCCAGGTCTGGGAGGAGATCCCTCAGGAGACCATCCGCCACCTCATCAGGAGCATGCCCAGGCGTTGTAGGGAGGTCATACAGGCACGTGGAGGCCACACACACTACTGAGCCTCATTTTGACTTGTTTTAAGGACATTATATCAAAGTTGGATCAGCCTGTAGTGTGGTTTTCCACTTTAATTTTGAGGGTGACTCCAAATCCAGACCTCCATGGGTTGATAAATTAGATTTCCATTGATAATTTTTGTGTGATTTTGTTGTCAGCACATTCAACTATGTAAAGAAAAAAGTATTTAATAAGATTATTTCATTCATTCAGATCTAGGATGTGTTATTTTAGTGTTCCCTTTATTTTTTTGAGCAGTGTATATACAGTACCAGTCAAAAGTTTGGACAAACCTACTCATTCAAGGGTTTTTCTTAATTTTTACTATTTTCTACATTGTAGAATAATAGTGAAGACATCAAAACTATGAAATAACACCTATGAAATCATGTAGTAACCAAAAAAGTGTTAAAACAAATCAAAATATATTTTATATTTGAGATTCTTCAAAGTAGCCACCCTTTGTCTTCATGACAGCTTTGCACACTCTTGGCATTCTCTCAACCAGCTTCACCTGGAATGCTTTTCCAACAGTCGTGAAGTAGTTCCCACATATACTGAGCACTTGTTGGCTGCTTTTCCTTCACTCTGCGGTCCAACTCACCCCAAACCATCTCAATTGGGTTGAGGTCAGGTGATTGTGGAGGCCAGGTCATCTGATGCAGCACTCCATCACTCTCCTTCTTGATAAAATAGCCCTTACACAGCCTGGAGGTGTGTTGGGTCATTGTCCTGTTGAAAAACAAATGATAGTCCCACTAAGCGCAAACCAGATGGGATGGCGTATCGCTGCAGAATGCTGTGGTAGCCATGCTGGTTAAGTGTGCCTTGAATTCTAAATAAATCAATGACAGTGTCACCAGCAAAGCACCCCCACACCATCACACCTCCTCCTCCATGCTTCATGGTGGGAACCACACATGTGGAGATCATCCGTTTACCTACTCTGCGTCTCACAAAGACACGGCGGTTGGAACCAAAAATCTAAAATTTGGACTCATCAGACCAAAGGACAGATTTCCACTGATCTAATGTCCGTTGCTCGTGTTTCTTGGCCCAAGCAAGTCTCTTCTTCTTATTGGTGTCCTTTAGCAGTGGTTTCTTTGAAGCAATTCGACCATGAAGGCCTGATTCACGTAGTCACCTCTGAACAGTTGATCTTGAGATGTGTCTGTTACTTGAACTCTGTGAAGCATTTACTTGGGCTGCAATTTCTGAGGCTGGTAACTCTAATGAACTTATCCTCTGCAGCAGAGATAACTCTGGGTCTTCCTTTCCTGTGGCGGTCCTCATGAGAGCCAGTTTCATCATAGCGTGTGGTTTTTGTGACTGCAAATTTCCCGTATTGACTGACCTTAATGTCTTAAAGTAATGATGGAGTGTCATTTCTCTTTGCTGATTTGAGCTGTTCTGGCCATAATATGGACTTGGTATTTTACCAAATCGGGCTATCTTTTGTATATCACCCCTACCTTGTCACAACACAACTGATTGGCTCAAACGCATTAAGAAGGAAAGAAATTCCACAAATTAACTTTTATCAAGGCACACCTGTTAATTGAAATTATTCCAGGTGACTACCTCATGAAGCTGGTTGAGAGAATGCCAAGAGTGTGCAAAGCTGTCATCAAGGCAAAGGGTGGCTACTTTGAAGAATCTCAAATATAAAATATATTTTGATTTGTTTAACACTTCTTTGGTTACTACATGATTCCATATGTGTTATTTCATAGTTTTGATGTCTTCACTATTATTCTACAATGTAGAAAATAGTAAGAATAAAGAAAAACCCTTGAATGAGTAGGTGTGTCCAAACTTTTGACTGGTACTGTATATATACACACACACAGTATGACCCGCTCTAGAGAATAGAGAATGGATTCAATTGAATATGCCTTAAAAAAGAAACATCGTAACTGACAGTTGTTGTATGACACAGATTATGCCATGGACCACCTCAAACAGCTCCTTGGCAAAGCGAAGGGTTCTGCTGGAAGATTGCTAAAGTTCTTTGTATTCTATCGCAACCAGCACCCTGAGTACTTTCAATATGTCAGGTCAGTGCCACACGATTCTCTGTAAATACACACAGGTATATAGGGATGTGCTGTGAAGTTCAATAACAAAACTAACAAATGTTTCTCCTCTTCTCTTAGAACTGAGTGTGGGGGTCTGATGCGCCCAGCCATGAAAGACAATAGTGGAAGCCATGGCTCTCCTATCAACAGCAAACTGCAGGGAGTCTTCCTCAGCTGCAACACTGAGTTTGACACAGGTCTTCCTCCAAACGACTCCCCCTACGGCCCCCTGCGTTTCCAGATCCCGGCCGGGAACCTGCTGAATCCCAACACTAATCTTTACTTTGCTGACTTCTACTGTATGTACACAGCCTATCATTATGTGGTGTTGGTGCTGGCCCCTGCTGGCTCAGAGGGGGATAACTTCTGCCGTAGCAGTCTCCCCCTGCTGGACCTGACTGCCAACCCCTTCCTGACATACATTCCCCCCCAGAGTCAAGGGGAAGAGCCCTTGTTCTGCCATGCCAGTGATGTCATCCTGGAGGTGCTGTACACAGAGCCAATGCATCTGGAGCAGGGCAGTGTGGTGAAGATCAGTGGCCACCACCAGATGAGTCAGACCACGGCCAACGCCAAGAAGGACCCAAGCTGCAAAGTGTGCAACATCAGTGTGGGCCGCTGAGAGAACGGACTGGACTGACATAGGGTTTAGAGAACAGTGAGGATGTGTGTCGTCATAGCTGCAGATGTAGAGAATGGGCAGAGCGATTTAATCTATCTAGTAGTGTAAGGTAAAGTAACACAACTGGGATAGACCATCTCTTGGGGTATGTGCATGCTGGCTGCCCCACCCCTCTCCTTCGCTACTAGTATTCCAAATCTCCATGTATCATCAATCATCACGTGTCTTTAGGACACGTGGACTGAAAGAAAGGCACTATAGATGATGGGCTTACAGTGTGATGCAGAGGACCATATGTTTGAGCTCCTCCATTGCTGGAGGAAGCGGTGATGTACACATTGTGTAACACTGTATTTGTCAAATAACATTACGTATGATATATAGTTCCGTTTTCTCCTTACAGTACCTGTTGGTCTTAGATGATTCCAAGATTTCTTGTACTTCGAAACACACTGTCAATTGAATTTCTATTTGAAAACGTTCAAACATTGTTATTTAGTCAATGCATATGATAAGTGAATAATAAAGATTTGAATTGATTGTAGGATGTCATTTGGTCAAAAAGAGAATGCCCCAAACCAATGCCCACAACAGATGTGTCATGATTACTGTGATCAGACATTGCTAAACCATTTTCAGAGTGACACAATAACTGTGAATCATGTACACATGGACCCATTCTGAGTGGGCAGGATGTCCAGTCACAGCTTGCCTCTGCCATCATTCCTTTTGTCTTTTAGTCGATAAGTAATGATATGATCTCTCTGGCTGTTGAGATCCATGGAAGGATAATACCACAGGAACAATACCTGATCCATATAGCGTCTGATACCAGGCATTTAGTCATGTAGGCACTAGAGAGTACAATACTGGGATAAGATTAGCTCACTATCTCCTTTGAGGGATCAAATTGGTCCACTTAAGTATTCCATGACGCAAGTTTCAAGTTTTATTAGTCGTAGGTACACACAGCATACACCATCCAACAAAATGCTTACTTGCTGGTTCCTTCTCGACAATGCAACAACAATAAGAAAGAATAAAATATAAGAATAAGAACATAAAGTAAATGGCTCAGTAGAATAGAATAAACATTTGAGCTTAAATATAATACAGGAACGCACAATTTATAGTCCAATATTTACAAGTGTTTTGGGGAAGGGGGGGAAAGTGTTTAAATTGTGAAGTATTTAGCAATCATAAGTCTTAGCAGCAGTTGTGCTGTGTGTAGCATGAGTGTACAAAAAACATTAAAAACACCTTCCTAAGATCTCCCCGCTAGTTCTTGGTGAAAACCTGGCAGTTACTCAACACTCACTGTTTTGGTCAGAGAGGAATTGTCACGGTTTCGGCCGAGGCTGCCTCTCTCCCTTGTTCGGGCAGGCTTCGGCGTTCGTTGTCTCCGGAATACTAGCTGCCACCGTTGTATGTTTCATGTTCGTTTGCTTTTGTCTGTTTGTTGTCACACCTGTTCTCGTTTAGCGTAATTAGTGTCCTATAAGTTTCTCGTTGTGTTTGTATAGTGTTGTGTGTTATTGATTTTGGTCTGTCGTGTGTAGGGCTTCATTTTGTATTTCGCTCGGTTGAGCTTCCCTCCACTGCGTTGGAGTATTACGCACCTGTTTTGTGCGCTTTCGTTTTGTTTCGCCTTCGTGCGTATTTTCGCCTTCGGGCAAGAGTTGGCTTATTTTCCTTCTTGGAGATTACTAAAGTCTGTTGGACTATACTTCGGTGTCCTGCGTTTGATTCCACCTACACCCACCTACAGCACGCGTGACAGAATAACACACCCGAAATGGAATCAGCAGGAGCCGCAGCAGCCCAGACGACGCTGGAGGACCAGGTTCGGGAACAACGGGACCAGATCCTGCAGATGGGGACCGCACTGCAGGAGGTGATCACCACCATCCGAGGCTGGGGAACGCCTCCACCACCACCCTCCCTGCCAGCACCATCGGCCAGTCCGCCCATTCCCGCACCGGAATCCCGAGGAGTCCGACTCTCGCTCCCGAGGGCCTACGATGGAACCGCGGCCGGGTGTCAGGGATTCCTTCTCCAGGTGGAACTGTACCTGGCCACCGTGCACCCGGCGCCCTCGGGACATGAGAGCGTGTCCGCCCTGATCTCCTGCCTTTCCGGGAAGGCATTGGAATGGGCCAACGCGGAGTGGAGGAGGATCGACGCGGACACCATCACGTACGACGAGTTCTCCCGCCGCTTCAGGGCGGTGTTTGACCATCCCCCGGAGGGGAAAGCGGCGGGGGAGCGTCTGGTCTTCCTCCGGCAGGGGAGGAGGAGTGCCCAAGAGTTCGCCCTCGAATTCCGTACTCTAGCGGCAGATGCAGGGTGGAATGATCGGGCTCTCGTCGATCACTACAGATGTAGTCTACGAGTGGACGTCCGTCGGGAGCTGGCTTGTAGGGACACCAGCCTCTCGTTCGACCAGTTGGTCGACATGTCCATCAGGCTGGATAACCTACTAGCTACCCGCGGACGTCCCGAGGGGGGTCCGTCCATTTCACCCTCCAGCGCCTCCGAGCCGTGTCCCATGGAGCTCGGGGGTGCTGGCGCTAGAGAGAGGAGGGGTCGGCTTACTAGGGGGTCCATCCCCTGCACCAACTGTGGTCGGGGAGGACACACCGCGGCTAGGTGCTGGGGATGGCCTCCTAGGGGAGAGGACGACAGGTCCCGCACTGGGGATTCCTTCCAGGTGAGTAGGCGCCCCACTCACCCAGAGCTCTCTGTTGCACATTTTTGTATACCTGTGAGTTTTCCACAGGTAGCACCTCATTCCCAGCATAAGGCGCTGGTAGATTCAGGCGCGGCTGGGAATTTTGTTTTTAAGAAGTTTTGTTTAGCCTTAGGGATTCCCCTTCTTCCTGTTGATGTCCCTTTCCCCGTTCATGCCCTAGATAGCCGTCCGTTGGGTGCGGGCTTGATCAGGGAGGTCACTGCGCCACTTAGGATGTGTGAGCAGGGGGGTCATCAGGAGATGATTCAGCTATTTCTGATTGACTCTCCTGCGTATCCGGTGGTGCTGGGCATGCCCTGGTTGAGTACCCATAACCCATTTATTTCGTGGCAGGAGAGGGCTCTGATGGAGTGGTCTGCCCAGTGTGTGGGTCGATGTTTGGGCGTTTCCGTAGGGGCTACCTCGGTGGAGAGTCCAAACCAGGTGCCCGCATTGCACGTTCCCCCTGAGTATGGGGATTTGGCCATCGCGTTTAGCAAGTCGAGGGCGACGCGGTTGCCGCCCCATAGGCAGGGAGATTGTGCGATAGACCACCAGGCAGGAGCTGCGCTCCCACGGAGCCATGTGTATCCTCTGTCTCAGGAGGAGAAGAAAGCTATGGAAACTTACATAGACGAATCTCTGAGACAAGGATACATACGGCCTTCCACTTCCCCTGCGTCCTCGAGTTTCTTTTTTGTGAAGAGGAAGGATGGGGGTTTACGCCCGTGCATCGATTACCGTGGTCTCAATCAGATCACGGTGAAGTACAGTTATCCACTCCCGCTGATTGCGACCATGACTGAGTCCTTGCATGGGGCGCGTTTTCTTCACTAAATTAGATCTCAGGAGCGCGTACAACTTGGTGCGCATCAGGGAGGGCGATGAATGGAAGACAGCCTTTAGTACCACCTCGGGCCATTACGAGTATCTTGTCATGCCATACGGGTTGATGAACGCTCCGTCAGTTTTTCCAATCATTCGTGGATGAGATCTTCAGGGACATGCAGGGGCAGGGGGTCGTGGTGTACATAGATGACATTCTCGTGTACTCGCCTACCCGTGTCGAGCATGTGGCCCTGGTGCGCAGAGTGTTGCGGAGGCTGGTGGAGCACGACCTGTATGTTAAGGCAGAGAAGTGTCTGTTTTTCCAGGAGTCGGTCTCCTTTTTGGGGTATCAGTTGTCTGCGTCAGGGGTGAGGATGGAGGTAGACCGGGTGTCAGCCGTGCGTAATTGGCAAACACCAACCACTGTGAAGGAGGTGCAGCAGTTTTTGGGGTTTGCGAATTACTACCGGAGGTTTATCCGGGGTTTTGGACAGGTGGCAGCTCCCATCACGTCTCTCTTGAAGGGGGGCCCGGTGCGTCTGCAGTGGTCTGCCGAGGCGGACAGGGCATTTGGGAGGCTGAAGGACCTGTTTACCTCGGCTCCAGTGCTGGCGCATCCGGATCCCTCTTTACCATTTCAGGTAGAGGTGGACGCGTCTGAGGCCGGTATTGGAGCCGTGCTTTCACAACGGTCAGGCGCGCCACCTAAACTCCGCCCCTGTGCCTTCTATTCCAAGAAGCTCAGTCCGGCGGAGCGAAAACTATGACGTAGGGGACAGGGAGCTGTTAGCCGTGGTACAGGCCCTAAAGGTGTGGAGGCACTGGCTTGAGGGGGCTCAACACCCTTTCCTCATTTTGACGGACCACCGTAACCTGGAGTACATCCGGGCAGCGAGGAGGCTAAACCCTCGGCAGGCTAGATGGAATATGTTTTTGACCCGGTTTACATTTAAGATCACGTACATCCCTGGGTCACAGAACGGTAAGGCAGATGCGCTGTCTCGGCGGTATGACACGGAGGAGAGGTCCGTGGAGCCCACTCCCATACTGCCGGAGTCGTGTCTGGTGGCACCGGTAGTGTGGGAGGTCGATGCTGAGCTCGAGCGGGCGTTGCGCACCGACCCTAGTCCACCACAGTGCCCGGAGGGTCGGAAGTACGTTCCGCTCGAGGTTCGGGATCGATTGATCTATTGGGCTCACACGTCACCCTCCTCTGGACACCCGGGTATCGGCCGGACAGTGCACTGTCTTAGTGCCAAGTACTGGTGGCCCACGTTGGCAAGGGATGTGAGGGTTTATGTTTCCTCCTGCTCGGTGTGCGCCCAGTGTAAGGCGCCTAGACATCTGCCTAGGGGTAAGTTACTGCCCCTGCCCGTTCCACAACGACCATGGTCCCACCTCTCGGTGGATTTCCTTACTGACCTTCCTCCTTCACAGGGGA